TCTAGGTGTGCAGGCTTCAGCAGTTGTGGCTCACAGGCTTAGTTGATCCGCGGCATGTCGGATCTTCCCAGACCAGGGCCCGAACCCATGTCCCCTGCATTGGCAGGCAGACTCTTAACCATGGCACCACCAGGGAGGTCCCACTTCTGTAGTTTTTAATATATTCACAGAGTTGTGCAACCATCACTACAATAAATTTTAGAATATAAGTGGTGAGAACAGACATCCTTCTCTTGATCTTGATCTTAAGGGGAAAGCATTCACTGTTTTACCACTAAGTATGATGTCAGCTGTAGGTTTTTTACAGATGCCCTTTATTAGGAAGGAAGTTTTTTTTAATCCTACTTTTTTGAGAGTTTTTAATCATAAATGTGTTTCATTTTATCAAATGCTTTTCTGTATCTACTGAGCTGATATATGGTTTTTGTCCTTTAATCCAGAGGTCCCCAACCCCCGGGCCGGTACCAGTCTGCAGCCTGTCAGGAACTGGGCCACACAGCAGGAGGTGAGCAGCGGGTGAGTGAATGAAGCTTCATCTGCCTTTCCTCATCGCTTGCGTTACCGCCTGAACCATCCTCACCCCCTGCCCCCCGATGCCATCTGTGGAAAAATTTGTCTTCCACAAAACTGGTCCCTGGTGCCAAAAAGGCTGGGGATTGCTGCTCTAGTCTATTAATATGGTGTTTTACTTTTTTTCCCCCATGTTAAACCAACCTTGCATTCATGTCATATAGTCCTTATGCACTGCTAGATTTGGCTTGCTAACCCTTTTCTGGAAATTTTTTTTACATTCATGAAAGATACTAATCTTTAGCTTTCTTTTCTTGTAATGTCATCTGATTTAATATGTTCAGAGAATGAGTTGAGAAGTGTTCTCTATTTTATAAAGAGTTTGAGAATGATTTTATCATTTCTTCTTTAAATATTTGATTGAATTCACCAGTGAATCCACCTAGGCCTGGGCTTTTCTTTGTGGGAATATTTTAAAGTATTAACTTAATTTCTTTACTTGTTATAGGACTATTATGGGCTGAATAATATGACCCAAAAAGATATGTTGAAGTCCTAACCCCCAGGACCTCAGACTGTGTTCTTTAGAAATAGGGTCATTGCAGATGTAATTAGTCAAGATGAGGTCATACTGGATTAGGCTGGGCTCTTAATCCTCTCTGACTGGCATCCTAATAAGAAGAGGCAGACACATGGGGGGAGAAGACCATATGATGACAAAGGCAGAGACTGAAGCTGATGCAGCTGCAAGCCAAAGAAGGACTGCTGACAAACCACCAGAAGTTAGAAAAGGTTAAGGAAGGATCCTCTAGGTCCTGCCAACACCTTGATCTTGTACTTCTAGCCTCCAGAACCGTGAGATATAAATTTCTATTGTTTTAAGCCACTCAGTTTGTGGTACTTTGTTGTGGTTGCCCTAGGAAATGAATACAAACTCTTTTCAGATTTTCTGTTGTGTTGATTCAGTTTTGGCAATTTCTTTCTAGGAATTTGTCCAACTCATCTACATTGCCTAATCTGTTGGCATAAAGTTATTCATAGCCCCTTTTAATTTTGGTAGGGTGGGTAGTGATATCCTGCTTTCCTGATTTTAGTAATTTGTGTCTTTCTTTTTGGTCAGCCTAATAAAGGCTCGTCAACTTTACTGACCTTTTCAAAGAACCAACTTTTATTTTCATTGACTTTATTTTTCCTCTTATCTATTTCATTAGTTTCCAGTATGACTGCTATTTCCTCCCTTTTGCTTGCTTAGCTTTAAGTTGCTCTTATTTTTCTAGTTTTTAGAAGTGGAAGCCTAGAATATTACAACCCTTTTTCTTTTCTAACATAAGTGTTTAAAGCAGCAAATACCCTTCAGATCACTTTTAGTTGCAACCCATTAATTTCAGTGTTTTCACTTTCATGCAGTTTAAAATATTTTCTGATTTCCTTTGTTACTTCTTCAGATCATGAGTAATTTAATTTGCAAATATTTGGGTGATTTCCCAAATTTCTTTCTATTATCTATTCCTAATGTAATTCCATTGTAACCAGAGGACATAATTTGCATGGTGCCAATACTTTTAAATTTATTGAGGCTTGTTTTATGGCCTAGCATATACACTATCCTGGAGAATGTACTTCTTAAAAAGAATATAAATTCTGCTGTCACTAAGGACAATAGTCTATACATATCTGTTAGGTCGATGGTGTTGTTCAAGGTTTCTATAGCCTTAGCAGTTTTCTGTCTAGTTGTTCTACCCATTATTGAGAATGTGAAATTAAAATATCAAATTATTGTCTATTTCTACATTCACATCTAACAATTTTTGCTTCATGTATTTAGGACTGTTTTGGGTGCATGTACATTTCTAATTATTATAGCTTCTTGACATATTGACCTTTTTATTACAAAATGTCTGTTTCTAGAAATATATGTCTTAAAGTCCGTTTTGTCTGACATCATTATTGCCACTGCAAATCTCTTATGTTTGCCATTTGCATGGTCTATCACTGTTAAGTACTATTAGTCTTTTCATCATCATAATACATAATGCAACTTTGTACTTTTATAGTTGTCCTTTTATTAATTTGCAAGCTTTTTCGTAACAATAAAGCATAAATTCTTTGATGAGTTTCATACATCTTTCTGTATAGTGTTGGGTATAATAAATACTTGCTCCATTACAAGGAATTAGATACCAACCTCCTCTTTAAAATAATAATCCAGTTGTGTTATTTGCTCATGGTGTTGTTGACTCATGTTTTCCCACCTTCAGTCCAGGTTTTGAAAGCTGCGAATGATACTCACCTGCCTTTCTGCCAGTTCCAATCCTAGATTTATGAAATGTACAAAGACTTTTTACCACAACTCCTCTGTACTCAAGAATCACATTTTAGGAACACTCATTTAAATCAGATGGCTTAATCTCAGGTATTTTTGCTCTCCTGCAAAACTTTAATAAAAATAGAAAATTGTCCAGACAATTACACAGGTCTCAAATATCATACATCATGTGCATAATCCTGTTTTTTTCTCACAATAAAGATACAAGAGTACTTTTGAGCTTTTAGGAATCATTATCTTACAAGGTAATTTAATAATTGCATAACTTTTGTGTTAAAGGACTTCTTCAGGCGTTGATCTTTTTGGTATTTTGAAGCCTTGCCTCAGTAAAACGATCTTGCTGATTGCCACATATGTTAATGTTTAAGATATACAATTATTATCCAAGTGATCTGTATGTCAAATTAAATGGGGATTGAGTATGATACATGTTGATTTCAATAGGCTTAAAAAAATTGTCTGACCAATGAATCATATAGGACAAAAAAGGTCATTTTTTAAAACCTAGACTTTTTCTTTCCTCTTAAATGGCTATGAAATTTTTCATTGATAATGTCTGAAATTGAATAAAATTGCCTAAGTATACTCTTAATCCCCATATATAAAGACATTTTTATGAGATTACTGTATTGAGACTTCTTGATTTGTGGCTCCCTTAAAATCACGTCTGTATTTGATATATTCATATAAGGACAAGAAAAATGATGCAATTATAGACAGGTGTAAATGGTGTTAGAGAATGGAAGATAAGGATTAGCATTAATTAAACTGATGCATAATATCATGGATCAGGATAAAAGGGAATCCCTTCTTTTTGACAAATTACTTTTATTTTTTCTAGGGAAATACACAAAATACTTCTATTGGCAATTCACCTCCACCCTTCAGTTGAATTTCTATTTCCAGAAATGCAGTTTCTCATTGTCAGCCAAACTTTCTGATCAGCGTATTGTTTTTAGAAGAAAGGGATAACTTGTAAGGCTCAAGGAACATAGTTGCAAATTGCTAAGATTCTTCTTTATCACTTGAACGTCTGTTATATACCCTGCACGTGAGCCAAATCTTCATTTAAATTCCAAACTCCACAATAAACATTTCCATGAAGAATTCTTGCAATACACAATAACAAAAGATAGTCAAAACTCTTCTGATTTAGGCAGTTTTTGTTTAAGTAGACTATCTAAACACAGCTGCCACAACTTCCAATAAATACAGAGCAGCACAAAACCACCTGCCCTTGGTTTCGTCCTTGGAAAAGACGCATCTTCCCCCTAGTTGTTAGAAAATTCCATACCAAATAAGATAGTTTTCTCATATTGCATGAAATACAGCATTTAACTTAACTTGACTCCTACAACCCAACATAAAACCTGTTTCAGAGAAGAAACAGACCCATAATTAAAATTGCATCAAATGATACGTTAACAGAAATACTTAACACCTAAAGCCTTAAACGGACAGACAGACATAGAAATGCAGCCTCAGACTGAGACTTTGGGCTGTGAAATGTACACCCACGACCTTGTTTTGCTGGCCTGCTTTGTAACCGCGGGTTCCGCCCTGAGATGGGTGATGGACCGCTCTCCAGCCGTCTCATAACTCATGAAGATTTGTCTCTTCCGCCATCCACTTCACAGGTAGTATGTGACTCCTCCAAGCAACAGGTCCTGAGCCTGCGGCAGGGCTGGGGCCCGGTAGGGCAGTTTCTCAGTCGCCACGCGGCCCAGTAGCTGCATCTCCATCCCGCGTCCGGTCCCTCGAATGTAGGCCAGGCCGTTCGCTTGCTTTACCCGTGGTGGGCAGCCAATAGTTACTTATGGCAGAAGGAATATTATCTACGTGTCACTCGGAGTTTGGAGGACGAGTAGAAAGTACAAACTCTCCACGCCGCGCTCGGCGGCAGTCCTTACCCCGTCGAGCCTCCTCCAAGCCACCGCCACCGCACGCGGTCCTGGGGGCCAGCCCGCGGGTAAAAAAAAGCGCGGTCGCGCGCAACTGAGCATGCGCCGCTGCCCGTCCGCCCCGCTTTACGGCCCTCCCCACCCTCCACGGGGGCCGTGGGAGCTGCGTCGCGAAATCAACCACGCTCTCTCCCCGCCCCTCAGGCCTCTGGGACCTGGAGCGTCCGGGAGCAGGCGCCCGTGCGTGATGACGCACGTGGTCGCGAAGACGTGGGGACGCAGGCGGGCCGTATAGAGCGTGAGTTTTCGCGGCTGTTCGGCAGCGCTGCCGTCGTCCGTTGTGCGCCGCGTCTCTCGCCTGTTCCCAGGGCCGCGGACGCTGGCGGCGGCGGCGGCGGCGGCGGCGGCGGTGGCGGCGCCGCTGCGGGAGACCGTGGGCTTCCCTGGGGCCAGGCGGGGGCGGGGTTGGAGGCGCAGCCTCCGCTCCGTGGGAGCTCTCAACAGGTCCGAGAACGGGGAGGGAGTTTCCCGGAGCGAGTCTAACGGGGGTCTCTTCATCTTCACTCCTGTCTCTGCTTGAGGCCGATCGCACAGGGAACGACGAGCCCAGGCCCTGGGTGGATGGCGTTGGCTCTGGGAGGCGCGGGCGGTGGGGGTGCAAGTCTTGCGATATGGCTGGGGGGGGGGGGGGGGCGGGTGTGGTTTAAAGGGACGTTGCGTCAGCGACAGCTTGTAGTTTCAGTTTCTCTTGGAAGAGTAACTCTGTTTCTCAGAACAAGTGTGTGGCAAACAATCCTAATCCTAATCTAAGTAGTGGTATTTCTCCTAATACGGGATAGGAAATACACTGTGTATTTAATCCTTTTCTGTCCAGGCCTTAAAAACCTTTACAAAAACGGATCACATGCTTATATGACTTTCCAAACCGAGCATAAACTCAGTGTTACTGTCAAAATAAATTACTGCATAATCATGATTGAGTCATCGAGATGGGTTGGTCCCTTTGCAGTGACAGCTGGACTTTGCTCTTTTTTTTTTCCCTTTGGAATTGCTCCTTAAAAATCTGTCTTATGTCTCACATTTATATGCCACTTTTTGCTGTTCTAATAACCTTTAAATCTAAAAACTTCTAATTTGCTGCTGGTGTGGCAGGGCTTGGGAAAGCAAATAATCTTAGAAGGCAGTGCATTGGGTTCCCAAATTGTTCCAGGGCTACCAGCATCAACGTCAGCGGGGAACTTGTTGGAAATGCAAATTTAGGAGTCTTACCCCAGATTTAGTGAATCAGAAATCTATTTTAACAAGACTTCGAATTGATCCCAAGGCACCTGTGTACTAAAGCTTGAGAATTACTGGCCATAGTGATAAAGAACAGCCATTGTGAAGTCACAGAATGGAATTTGAATCCAGGTGAAGCCTTTCTTAGGTGTAGGACCTGGGACAAATTAGTTAAAGGTTACTTCATAGGGCTGAAAGTATTCAGTGTAAAAATGCAGGAAAAGAGTTTAACACAGGTGGAAAACAAAGATGAGATGTTATTAAGGAACTTGTTAGAACTGTCTAAAATAAGTACATAGATTGTGCTGAGAGGATTCTTCCTTGATTTAGATGTGAGTTGTAGTGCACAAATATTGTGCCTCTTCTGCTGCTTAGAGGGCAGTTTATTTTTATGGATTCTCATATTGTATACGATTGAGGCTGTCGAGTGTAGGATATTCAGTTAATACCAATGCTGTAGTATTTTTAAGAACCACATTAGTAAATGTGTTAAAGAGCAGTTTTTAATTCTTTGGGCTTTTGGTTTTTTCAGCTTCATTGTACCTTCTTTTGACCCAGAATTTGGTAAAGAGAGTAGAGTGGATAACTGATCGGAGATCAGCCTTAGCCTTAGAGTTGAGAAGTATTAGAGAGCAGTGACTTGGAAACGAGAGACAAGACTGAAGATGTTTCTGTCCTTTTTTCCCCATGTGTTATACAGCTCCACGATAGCAAAGAAGTTCTCATCATATCTACTTACCTCTGTTTTCTGGAAGCATCACAGGAATTAAGTTAGATGTGCCCTCCATCTGCTGTTTTTACAGAATGTCAGCTGCAGAGTTACAGCTTTTTCCTTCCCCTTTTCAGGGGGTCGGTGTTGGGGGGATAAAGAGAAATATTTGGAAGCAGCTGACATAAAGCCTAGACTCATTGTGATGTTGAGAAGAGTCTGTAGCACCATGGCTGAAACAACAGGTCACTTTGATTAGAGTCCACTGCTCCCGAGGCCACACCGTAGCTCCTGGGTATTGTGGGTGAGTTTTCAGATAACTGTGAGTCAGTTTGGATATTTATACCCTATAAATAATTTTGTTAATGCTAAATTAACACTGTCCCATCATGAAGTATTCACTTTTCACAGGCCCCATTTTTCTTGTTCTCTGTGTCAGAGAGGCTGATCTTTAGCGTCAGGCAGACCCTGCTTTGAACCCCACCTCTGCTACATACTGATTGTGTCCAGTAGACAAGTTAACATCCTCCCAGCCTGAATCTCCTCTCCTATGGAGTAGGATTCGTGGTGTGTGACTACCTCAGGACAGTGAATAAAATGAAATCAAGTGGAAAGCATGTCTGTTAACGCTGAGAGGCTCAGTAACTGGTACGTGTTGGACAGGGGAGAAAAGGTAGTTATTACCTCAAACCTAGCTTGATCTCATTCATTTCCTCATAATATTTTTGTAAATGAGGTAATTTTATTAATTACTTGACTGCGCTGCTTTTCTTTTTAAGCAGAATGCTGAAGAGCTTTCACAGTATTGTGAATGAGAGAAAGCAAACACTTTGGAGAAAGTTAAAACTCTAAACCTGGTAGAAAGGCACCATTTTCAGTTCTATCAGCATAACAGAGCAACTTTCATAAATTGTTTTGAGTGTTTACTGGAAGGTCAAGGTCAGTGGGTGATTACTGTTTAAGTATCTACAGTTAGTTAACGGGGACAGTCAGCCACAGAAGGGGGCACTTTGTTACAGGAGATGAGACTTCACTGAAGACATGCACCAAAGAATAAGAAAATGCTGTTATAGCTCTGAAATCATTATTTTTCAATATGGATGCTTAATGATAGGAAAGTGAAGAGTTTTATGTTCCATTTTAAAAAATGATCAAAAAATCTCATGTATTTCAGTATATAGTGCATATGAATATGTGAGCATGGAAGCTACTTGAAAGGTGTCATACTAGGTCATAATTTCGTTTACTTGGCAATGTATTATAATATGGAGGTAGGGACAAATAATTTATACATTTAAGTAAAATTAGGTAAATGCACGTGTATGTAAAAATTCTTTTAAAAAACCATTACAAAGATAGAAATGCCTTAGAAAGATAGGTGGCCTTTTATGCTGTAGCTCTAGTCATCTAAGCAGGGGGCCTCAGATTTTTTAGCAAGGGACCCTCTTTAGCAGCATCTTACCTGTAAAGCTCAGGAGCTGAGAGGTTTTAAGAGAAGAGGGGTTGAAGGGCATAGGCCCTACCTGCTGGGAGCCTCCTGCAGTGACACTTCAAGGAGTCCGTGTGACAGGGTGTGAAACCCTTCATCTGTGGGGTAGAAATCCTCAGGAGATGAGCTGTACCTAAAAAGTCAGGTGTTGAGAATTCCTGAGTGGGATCCACAAACTTGTTCTGAAGACAACTCCCAGGGTTATCAGCAGTGTCAGACATATGTATAGTTTCTCATGTAGAGAAGTGAGAGATTATTTTAAGAAAAAATCCAGCCTTCAATTTGACCCATATTATATAAAAATAGGAATCTATGCACATTTTTTGAGAAATCATCGAATAAGTTTTTTTGTTGCTGTTGTCTTTTTGCGGTACGCGGGCCTCTCACTGTTGTGGCCTCTCCCCTTGCGGAGCACAGGCTCCAGACGTGCAGGCTCAGCAGCCATGGCTCACGTGCTTAGCCGCTCCGTGGCCTGTGGGATCTTCCCAGACCAGGGCATGAACCCGTGTCCCCTGCACCGGCAGATGGACTCACAACCACTGCGCCACCAGGGAAGCCCAGTTTTTTTTTTTTTTAAATCCCTCTAAGCTGTGACAGCTGTTACCACGGTTAAAACTTTAATATTTTAACTGGCTGTTGTTTAGCATTACAGATGACTCAAGGAAAAAGAAACAAGGAGTCAATGGAAATATATTACTTGTGTTTACTGTCCTTTAGTATTTTGTTGTATGAAAGCAGCTGGTTTGCATTTATATGGTAAAGGGTTTTTCTTAAAGAGTTAATTTTTAGTTAATAGTGAGCTTTCATAAGAAAAACAATTTCAAATGCTAAGTATTTGTCAAATTGTTTTTAATAGCGATAGTAGTAATATCACATTGTCCTTTTTCACACATTTAGGAGGGTTTCCTGGTGACAGCTGGAGCATGGGGGAGGGGGTGTCACTTTCAATCAACCAGCTGCTCCGTGCAACATCAGGATGGTGATATTTCAAAGCCCATGGATAATTCTGACTGCATTCAGAAGAGATAATGTATCAAATTTCTGGGAAGCAATAGATAGTGTGCAAGAAGAGCCCTTTGGGATCTAGCTGGTAGCCAACTAACAATGGTGTACATTCAGGTTTGTATGTTGGTATTATTTACCATCTCGTTTCTTGGACATTGTTACATGAGCATCATAATTATAAAGCAATAAAATCTAGTTCCATGGGGGCAAAAGGCTCATTAGTTTATGGAGAGGAAAGGAGAATGGAAAACAAACTTTGGGGATGTGCTGTGTGCTTTTACATAATATGCTGTTTCATTTCTTCTTCCTGATGACTCCAGGAAGTAAGTGGAGTTTTCATCATCCATGGATAAGGAAACCGAAGCTCAGCAGAATTGATTATGTGATTTGCCCAAGGCCACGTGCTAGTAAGTGATGGCATCCAGACTTGACCCCATATCTAGCTTCAGATCCAGGAATGTTGTCATTACACCAACAGCTGTTTCTCCACAGTGTTCACTTGCTTATGCATTTTTAATCCAAAGTCACAATAACAGGATAGTATGAATGAAATTTAGATACATATTACAATGACTTCAATTTTATATAAATAATATATAAGGGGGTGTGTGTGTTGGCAGCCACTTCTAATTTTGGAATTTTTTTCCCTTGAGGAAAGTCCCTTGGGCAACACTGTTAAAGAAATTTTGCTGTGTTTTTTTATATTACAGATACCAGAAATTTTCAGGGATGTGTATTTTAATGAGTCAGTTGTGATGCTGAGTTTGAACAGATGTAGGAATAAATATTGTGTGTGCTGCCCATATAGTAGAAGTTC